AATAATTTGAGAGTACATACGTAAGAAGTTCATGAGCATGAATATGTAAAACAAGACTTACAACTATCGGAATTTGTCAGTTGCAATTTATAACGTTGTGTGTAGTATATCGTGCATTATTATTTGTAACAGATTCCAACTTTCTTCAATCAACGATATGAAGACGCTGCACTGTGACGATCCAAGTACACTACACATCTTTAAAACCACGTATTTGCACTTCTTTCAATCAATCCTAATAGCACACATATAAAATAAAAACTGAGATTTTATGGTTCTGCTAAGTTTATGATTTTGGTTTCCTTATATAGGTGGATGTAACAGCGTGCTTTGAATATCTTGTAATAGTTTTTCACATAAAGCAAGTAATCTTAACTCGTAAGTTTAATGTTTTATTTATTTCTATATTTTTGTGAGATTTGTTGTATTTACCAAAAAAGTAGTTAATATGTTATGGGCTCGATTTTCCAGAAAAATAGAATGACGATATCATAGTTTTTCAATTTTAAGTAAACATTTTCGAAACTCGTTAAATGTTTTATGATTCAATTCCATGAATTTTTTCCACATATATTTCAAATGCGTTCATGGAACTGTCGTATTCCAACTTTCGTTTTTGAAATTCACCCCACTTTCCATTCCGGATCGAAAAAGGATATCAATCGTAACTAGCGTCAAGGACGATGTCCCAAAGGACTCGGAGCTTCTGTACGATGATGCTCAGAGCGCGGCGAGGTGCGGTAAAGTTTTCACCGATCTTTCCAAATTTTCCGCCGTAGCTACCAAAATCCGCTCACGCACCCTAAATCACCCCATTGCAGCCCCCATCCCGACAGTTCAATTTGAGAGACACGGCGCGAAATTAGGTCCGAATTCGAAAATCGAAAAAAATTTCGAATATTATGAAATTCGGACCTAATCAATACAACACCCTGTCCATGATTAATCTGAACAACTCTGAAATATTCAATATTCTAAAGAGGCCAAATCCTAGAAACACGGAATTTAGACATGATTCTGGAAACCGCTTTAGACCGGAGATATAATAGAATAATTAAAAAAAAAACATTTTGTGACCGAACGTCAACTCTGGGAATTTGCAGTTCTTTAAGCAGAGATGAAATCCTGCCCAGTGCCTGCCGCGCGATCAATGTTTTACGACCATTTATATGAAAATGTATGTAACTAATATCTATTGTCAAACATGTTCAAAAAATTAGCAGTGAAGTAAATATTTGAGTTATACAGGGTGTTAGTAAATAAGTGCGACAAATATCAGGGGGTGATTCTACACGAGAAAATAATGGCAGTTTGCTTATAAACGTATATCCGCAAATGATTCGTTTTCCGAGATATGGGGTATCAAAGTTTTTCTTAAAAACTGACGATTTAATTTATTGCTCTGAAACCGGTCGAGATGTGCAAATGAAATTTGGTGGGTTTTAAGAGGTAGTTATTGCGCATTTTTTGACACGCAATTAAGAATTTTATGTTCATCATTGGCGCGCGTACGGGTAATAATCTCAATTTTTTTAAAGAAAAAAATGGTACGCCACTGAGATATTACAAATTAAAAATCATTTTTGAATTCCTCGTTCAATTTGTGACAAAAAATCTCTCTTGCCTTTTCTTCGTATGGGGCGCCGTTTTGATGCAAAAAAATAAAACATCTTAACGCGTATTTTTTATTTCTTTAATACATTATCAAGAACTATCTAATACAATAACATTAAACCAGAACAATAACAGAAAATAACACTAATAAAATTTTGAAAAGGCGCAAAGCTACAACAAATGTTCAAAATGACCTCCCTCAGACGTGACACAAGATTCAACTCTTCGCCTCATTGATTGTCGTATTCGCGCAAATATTCCTGGTATATTTCTTATTGTCTCACAGCCGACTATAATTCGATTCCTCAGGTCATCAACATTTTCAACGGGAGTGGAATAAACTAATGACTTAAGAAAACCCCAAATGCAAAAATCAAGAGGATTTAAATCCGGCGATCGAGCAGGCCAATGTTCCGTACCTCCCCTACCTATCCAACGATTTGGATATACTGTGTCTAAGTGATTACGTACATTAATGCTAAAATGGGCTGGTGCACCATCATGCATGTACCATAGGTGTTGTCTCAGCTGTAGAGGAATTTCTTCAAGAAGAACAGGTAACTCTTCCTGTAGGAAATTAAGATAAGATTCGCCTGTTAGTCGTTGTGGGAGGAAATATGGACCGATTAAATGATCATCAATTACCCCAAGCCATACATTTACGGAAAACTGATGCTGAAAATGAGCTTCAAAGATTCCATGGGGGTTTTCCTCAGCCCATAAGTGATTGTTATGGAAATTTCGTATACACTGTCGTCCAAAAGTAGCCTCGTCAGTAAACAAAACGGCATTTAAAAAATTAGGAATTTGAGCGATTTGATGATTAATCCATTGGCAAAAAAATAGGCGCGGAAAAAAGTCTCTAGGTAGTAGAGCTTGCACACGTTCAATATGAAACGGATACAATTGCTGTTCTTTAAGAATTTTAAATACAGTGAAGTTGCTTACATTCAATATGTTGGCAATTTTTCGAGTACTTGTTTCAGGTGACTCCGCAATTAACTCGAGAACTGCTTCTTCTAGTTGCACAGTTCGTACTTCTCGAGGGCGCCCACAGTCAACCGTTTGTTTCTTAAATGAACCATTTTCGCGCAAACGTTGATGAAGACGAGCAAATATTGTGTGATGAGGTACCCTACGTCCTGGATACAACTCAGCATACAATCGTCGAGCTTGCCGACCATTTCCATTACTTCGACCATAGACAAAATGCATGTCTGACAATTCCGCATTTGTAAAATTTTCCATTCTTTTCGATAAAAGAAAAATTAATTACTTATTAACACTAATGTTATAGCAAACTAAAAGCTTAATAAATTAATAATGACGAAACGCTAATTTGACATTTCTTAAAAATATTCGTATTTAACAGACAAATGTTGACAGTAGCCTACTAGGTAATGTATTAAAGAAATAAAAAATACGCGTTAAGATGTTTTATTTTTTTGCATCAAAACGGCGCCCCATACGAAGAAAAGGCAAGAGAGATTTTTTGTCACAAATTGAACGAGGAATTCAAAAATGATTTTTAATTTGTAATATCTCAGTGGCGTACCATTTTTTTCTTTAAAAAAATTGAGATTATTACCCGTACGCGCGCCAATGATGAACATAAAATTCTTAATTGCGTGTCAAAAAATGCGCAATAACTACCTCTTAAAACCCACCAAATTTCATTTGCACATCTCGACCGGTTTCAGAGCAATAAATTAAATCGTCAGTTTTTAAGAAAAACTTTGACACCCCGTATCTCGGAAAACGAATCATTTGCGGACATACGTTTATAAGCAAACTGCCATTATTTTCTCATGTAGAATCACCCCCTGAAATTTGTCGCACTTATTTACTAACACCCTGTATTTTCTCACAGAAAAAATAGCCACACGAGCATAAAGTTTACACAGCTCCTCAAAATGCCCACCTACGTCAGTCCTACCTAGGAATGGCGAAGACTTACAGGGTACACAGCTTTAAAGCTGTCTTGAACAACAACCCTAAAGCTACCATACACTAATCCTCCTACGAGGTACAGTGGACAAAACTTATAAAGCTGGGCACTCTACGGAGGCCTAAATAACTACATAATAGAAACTAAAGTGACCCTTAAGATCTGTATAAAAAACTATACACGGTCAGTCAAAGCCCTCAAAAAAAGAATATTTCTTGGAAATCAAAAAGCAAATAAAGTACCCAATTAGAGCGTGGACTATCATTCAGAGACCAGCTACAATGTGCTGAAGGATGATAAGATAAGGAACACCCTGTAAGTCTTAAACGAATCAAGGTATCGAGTTATAATTTTTGCCATTCAAATTATACATACGTGTATATACGAGAAATACGAGAAACCTATTAAAAGTGTAGAATTTGATCTACTTATCTCTAACTTATCTCACTACCAAAAGATTCACTAGATCGCACAGGATCTTAATAAAGATTTATCAAATCTAGAGGCTGCATAATTGGTGCTGTTATTGCATATATCTCCACTAGAAAAATATATCGTAATAATATGCAGTTCGACTCTAACTTTCATGATTTTCACTAACCCCAGTATAAACATAAAAAAAATATGCTTCTCGAGATTGAATTTCCAGAAGTGTGTTAATTTTAATGTGCTCCGGATCTACTCCAGTCCTTAAAGTTCAATTATAAGCTAAAAGCCTAACATTAAGGCGTCGCATTAAGTTAAATTGAATAATGTGGTTACAGTAAAACGTGGAATAAAATAAGAGAAATGCTTCCAATACAAAACGGTGGCGAGATGAGGATATAAATGCAATAATTTTCTTTAAGTTGTACTTTAGTAATGGGGAGAATTTTCTTCAACAAAGCCTACTAATGAGTACAATAAAACTGAAACTATACTATGTGATACCTGGAAATAAAAATGTTTTATTTTAAAGACAACCGTTTTTTTAGTCAAAATTGTTAAAATTGCGCTTGTGGCTTTGATTAAATATATGCTACCTAACTTAAATGAATTTCCAGCAACTTCTCTATCCATTCTCAGTGCTTTTATCTTGACAAGGCTGCAGTTTTGCAGAACAGGTAATTAATAGCTTCATGCAAAACTTTTCAGCAAACGCGCTATCTTCCTGTTTATAAAATGGAAATATTTTATTAAAATTTATGGAAATTATTCCGATTTTGTCACAGTATGTACAAATATGACATATTCAAATTATTTATATGCGTGTGATCGACTGCCGTATTGTGAAGAACAATGCTTTTATTTAATGTCAGCAAAATTTAATTATGTAGGTATTATATAAACTGAATGATGCGTGTTTAGCAGAAAAAGTATCGTTGTACTTTTGCTCTATAGAATACTTTAGAGAATACGTTATTATTCAATTAGAACTAGTTTTTGTATTTTTTCTTACCTTTCTTACACTGCTTGAAGTCATATTGACGACGATTTGGTCGTATTGTGGTATTGGAGGGTGATTGTCGATATCTAGTACAAGTATTTTGATCTCTTTGTCGATTTGTCGAGTAGAACCTTTTTCCTTTCCAGCTTTATTTTCTATTATGCACATGACATCTGCCCAAAGGTAATCTGCTCTGTCTGTAGTGGGTTTTTTGTTGTGGTGGGTCAGGCGTCCAGTGGTGCCAACTGACCAGGCAGTACCGGGGGAGGTGGGGGGAATTATTTGAATATTATCTGAAACAAGACAAAGTAAATTTCAATATAATCATTCAAACCATAAGTAGAGCTCGTTTTGAGTAACAGTAAGGTAGAATTGAAATTAACCAGAAGTTCTATACAACATTTGACCTAAATCTTACCGTATTTGAATAAAAACAGTTTATGTGGAGCTGTGGAAGCTAAAAATTGAAATATAAAATGAAAAGAACTACTGTAATAAACAAAAATTACTTTTAGGTACAATCATAATTTATTTCTCAAAATATCATCTTATTTTATACGAAAATGTTTTCAGTGGGCTGCTATATTAAATAGAAAAGCTAGAATTTTTTTAAATATCTGACTTATGTCGTATTAGCCTCTTACGTTTATTTCCTCCACACAAAAGTGGATACATAAGTCTCAATTCTGTTCTACTGATAATCACAGCCCCACAAAAAAAAAAGTGGAATATCCGAAAGACGAGACCCTGGTATCTATATGTTTTTGGGTTCGCTGAATTCGAATCCGATGTACTCGATTAGCTCAATTAGTTGAAGGACACTTGAAGGTCAAATGTAGAGAATCAATTGCCATCTATACGTTTTTGGGGTCGGTAAATCTGAATCCGATATCCGTTTAATGTAGAGCATCGATTACCCATAAAGTAAACTAACATATCTATACGGTTTTGGGGTCGATGAATCCAAATCCGGTGTCCGTTTGATCCGATCAGGTCTGCGTTAAGGTCAATTCAGGGTCAAATGTTAACAAAGTAAACCAATGTATTTATACGTTTTTGGGGTCGCTTAATCCGAATCCGGGATCTGTTTGACTTGATCAGATCTTCTATCCTCTTCTAACCTAAGTTCTAACCTCAAAACACTCAAGTATTCATTTATGCGTATTAAAATTTGAGTAATAAATAATATTAAAGAAAGAAAACTTTAACTCTGAGCCCATGACTTTCGAGTTTATTGTTTTCACATGACAAAATTCTAGTATCAGTAAGTCTAATTAAGTAAGCTTTAAAACCATATGTCCGTTAATGTTTCAATACTTCATGTACATTAATTTACACTGTCCTTGTTCGTTGAGACTCTTGAGAAAAGTTTTTCAAGAGATTTTTTGCTTTGATAAATCACATGAAATTACTACATCTCACTATTGTGTTATCAACACTACTACTCACTTTAATTCGTATCGAACTATTTTGTTGTCAAAAGATCTGAGAAGTGAACTCAAAGAAGAAGTACTCAAATGTCAATACGTGTAAATGCTTGAGCGTTTTGAGTTTAGAACTTGAGGGTATTTAGCAAAGCTGATCAGGTCAAACGGACCACGGATTCGGATTCGGCGAACCCAAAAACGTATAGACATATTAGTTCACTTTATTGGCAATTGATTTCCTACATTTGACCTTGAACTGACCTTAAACCAGATCTGATTTTGTCAAATGGACACCGGACAAAATAACAACTCCAAAAACATACAAATATATGTAAAGGGATGGCCAGAAGTACGGAATAAAATTCATATCTTTTGAATGAGTTAATTTTTTTTAAAACGCCGAATCACGTTAACCGATTTTGATTTTTTCCCATCTTTCGGTTATATAATTTTTCTTCAACCCCCTAAGCCCCAGCTACCCCTACTTTTTTTTTCAAATGGAAACATAAGACATTAGGGGGCTCGTTGAAAAGCTTTTAGAAAACCGAATCCAGCCTTACCAAATAAACAAGTTTTATTTTTTCAATAACAAGTTTTTTTTCATTTAGAAATTGAAACGACTAGATAATTTACAAAAATAAACTCAATGTCGCAAATGCTGAAAATGTCCTCCATTCACTATTTGGCATTCTCCAAGACGATAGTAAAAGCTGTCCACAGCATTCTGAATGACTTCAGCTGGTAAATTATGCATCTCCGCCCTAATCTTGTTCTTTAAATTCTCAATATTATCCGGTCTGTCCTGGTAGACTCTTTCTTTCAAATATCCCCAAAGAAAATAATCCAGGGGTGTTAAGTCGGGGGATCTTGGCGGCCATTCAACTGTACCCCGTCTACCAATCCAGCGATTTGGAAACATTTCATCTAAGTATCTTCGAACATCAATACCAAAATGTGGGGGAGCGCCATCTTGTTGGAACCAAATTCTTTCATTCGGTATATCTGGATCAATTTCATGAGGGAAAATCACAGCTAGAGCAGGTATCAGGTCAAATGTTAGGAAATCCAGGTAGCGTGCGGCAGTAAGATTTTCTTCAAAAAAGAATGGGCCCAAGATTCTGTTGTTGATGATACCTGCCCATACATTAACTTTTTGTGGATGCTGCGTATGCGATTCGCATGTCCAGTGTGGATTTTCCTGGGACCAAAAGCGATAGTTGTGCCTGTTAACCACTCCATTTAAATAAAACGTAGCTTCATCCGAAAAAAGTACGTCTCGTTGAAAACCATTATTGTCGTCACACCGTCTCATCATTTCCTCACAAAATTGTAATCGCCTATCATAATCGTCTTCCAAAAGCTCTTGGACAAGACATACCTTATAGGGGTGGTATTTCTCTTGTTTCAGAAACATTCGAATTGCAGTTCGAGAAGCATCGTGATTGCGGGCCAATGAAACAGTTGAAGTATGAGGATTTTCAACAAGTTCTAATGCAATGTCTAATTTCTTTTCTTCATTCAAAGCACGTGCCCGTCCAGTTTTGGGCAAAGTCTGTACTGTACCGTGTTCCTCAAATTTGTGAAATATTTTACTAACTGTCCCTTGCGAGATTTGGTTTTCGGGATATTTCGCATTAAATAAATCGCGCACTTCAGCCTGACTTCTTATTTTGTCTCCACATCCAAGCAATATCAAGATTTCGATGCGTTGCCTTTCCGACAATACCATTGCAATTCAGTAAATAACTTGATTTTGACACAATAGTAACGTTTCGAACTCCAATTTACAACTAAAGCGAAAAATTAACCAGAAAGCCTGGCAAGTAAGTGGTGCCAAAAAAACGCAACATAAAAAATATATCTTTTTTGCGTTAGCAGTGATAGGTACAGTTTCAAATTCTTTATTTTATTCTGTGCAAATTCATGGAGGATAACACTGAAGATAATTAAATTTTATTTCACTTGTTAAGTAGGTGTTTTATACAACCCTAAAAACCTTGCTATTGAAAAAATAAAACTTGTTTATTTGGTATGGCTGGATTCGGTTTTCTATAAGCTTTTCAACGAGCCCCCTCATGCCTTATGTTTCCATTTGAAAAAAAAAGTAGGGGTAGCTGGGGCTTAGGGGGTTGAAGAAAAATTAATTATTATATAACCGAAAGATGGGAATAAATCAAAATCAGTTAACGTGTTTCGGCGTTTAAAAAAAAATTAACTCATTCAAAAGATATGAATTTTATTCCGTACTTCTGGCCATCCCTGTATAGATTTACTTTGTTGGCAATTGATTCTATATATTTCACCTTGTACTGACCTTCAACTAGAGCTACTCGGGTCAAATGGACCCCGGATTCGGATTCAGCGACTCCAAAAACGTATAAATATATTGGTTTACTTTATTGGCAATTGATTCTCTATATTTGACCCTGAACTGACCTTAACTCAGAGCTAATCGGGTCAAACGGACACCGGATTCGGATTCAACAACCCCAACAACATATATATACCAGGGTCTTGTCTTTCGGATATTCCCCATTTTTTTTTTGTGGGTCTGTGAATAAAGTATTTTTGACTACGAGACAGAAATGTAGATTTATTGATTTTCATAAAGTAAACTGATATTTTTTATAAGACTTCAGCAGACAGATATCAAATGTCGTCCAGGTTTTATGTGTCACAAACTCCCGAATATGATAATTTCTTATTTGTGGTAAACTTTCATAGAATTTCACGGAATATTGGAAAACTTCTGACAGTGTCTTGTTCCAGTGCCCCCTAATACAACATCCGCTAGCTTTTCAATCCCTAAATTTAAAACTTCATGCATCACAGTAAAAAAAGTTATGCATACGCGAAAAAGGTCAAAGGTCAGGTCGCAGGGAACTTGCCATGTGGGTCCCGCGACTTCCACTTCGTCGTGGTCTAACTTTGCAAAGTAAACGGAAGACAAAGCGAACGGCAAAAGTGAAATGTAAATAAGACTTGGCAGGGAAAAGTTAAAGTCGGTTCCTTTAATAATCTCATTAATGCCGTGGCAATTATTTTTGGGCATCTAAGTGGTGAAGTGGGCGTTGGAAAATTTACGGTCCGAGTTGAGATAATGGAGGCGAGATGAGAACTATTAATACTTTTTATTTTCTGGTACAATACGTATAATTTATTAAATAGTTTATACACTTTTACTTACAGACAATAACAAATGTTTATAATGAATGTGTTTTTGTAAAGTAGGAAAAACGTTGACAATTAGAAGAAGTCTATTTCACTTAATATTTTATGCGTCAAAATACCCACATTTATAGTATAACAGTATGTTTATACTGGCCTTCGGATAATGTTTTTAGAGTAAAACGCGCAAAACAGGTATTAGATCGATATATTGGTAGTCAGGTTTATTATTTATTATTTACTGACAACAACAATAACAAGAGAATTACATTTATAGCACATAATCAACCAAGGTTCAAGGTGAAAGCTTTATAGAATTTGTGTAAATAAGTAATTTTCTATTGTATCTCTATATTAATTTAAATAAAACGTGCCTATTGGAAATATAATAAGCCTAATGAAACTATTGAATTTTAATGAAATTGTTATTATTTTAGTCATAACTACAGCTTAATAAATCTTGTATATTTTTGGAAAGTTGAAGTTATCTGGTACATAGTAGATAATCTAAAATGTAATTTTTAAATAATAAATATTTTTCCACGGTCGGGAGTAGAAATCAGTTTCTATGACATCAAAATTAAAACAGAAGTAGTCGATTATTCCCAAGGGAGTATAATGCTCCCAAGGGAGTTTACATTATGGAGAACGTTTTTCATGCAAAAAAAAAGATAACATTGAAATTATTTATTGACATT